CTTGCCTAAAATACACAATTTATATAAATATATTCTCAAAGAGAACAGAACACTTCCACACACACACTTCCACACACACACATATATATATATATATATATATATATATATATATATATATATATATATAAAAAGGGTTTGGTCATGTGAAAAGGATTCAGGTTAGGGCTCTATGATTCACGCAGTTTTGTCAGGGACTGGCAAGCCCTGTGCTACACAGATGTTTCCACAGTGGGATTGGTACCTGGAAGGCGTGTCAAATTTACATTGCTGCCTCCTCTTCTCTGCCCTGGGTCTGCAGACTGACTCAGTAATAGGAAAATGTTATGGCACTAAGAATGTCTGTCAGCAGCTTCCATTACCCATTTGTAGTGGTCAATCCCACCTAAGATACAGACCTTTTTTTAGGGAATTTTTGTATCTTTGGTCCTCCTCTGTTATATTGCTCAGAGGCCAGCTTGCTAAACAATAGTATCATTGAGAGTTGGTGGTGTTCCATTGTCAATATATTGCCAACCCAATGCTGCTCTGCAGCAATGATCCAGTACTAATGGCACTGGTACTCTTAACAACTTCTGTGTCAATCCAATACACCAGTGCTGGTGAAAGCCTTTGCAATATCTCAAAGGCTTTTGACAAAGTGTGGCATAGGAAGTGTTCCTTGTACCACGGTGATGGTCCAAGGTTAGAACCAATGAAAGAATAACACAAACACAGGTATGGAATACAAAGATATATTACAACAGAAATATAATACAAAGAAGTAGAAGTATTAGTAATGACTATCAGATTTGGTTAGAGTGAACTATGTTGTCTCGACAAGTATCACTATTCCAATGTCCTTACAATATGCTCTCAATTATCTCTCTTTGTCTTACAAATCCTCATACCTCTTGAGAGGCGCAGTATTTATAATATCAGGAATAGTCCATTATTATTATGGGTAAGTTCCCATAACAGGAAGTTGCTACATAAACTCTCCAGTTATGGCTTCTCTGGAGGAGTTTGCACATCCATCAAGTTCTTCTTTTCAGGTCCATGAATATCATTGTGAATGGTCAGGTCTTCTGAAGCTCATGAGCACCCCTCCTCAACAAGGCTTGGTTCTACCCTGTTTTTATTAAAATTATTTTTTATTGCCTAGGAACATTTTCAGATCATTAGTAAATACCTGTTCAGATTATAACACTGTAACAGGAGAGCTATGGAAGAATGGTTTATTCCCCCCATTATGGGCATTATTATATCTGTGATATAACAACACTGTAATTCATGGATGGAATGGAATGGCTGAAAAGAAAAGGAATGACAAACATGCTTTGTTCTCAGAGATACTTTTATACTACTAATACATATATACACGTCCCTTGTGGAGAATAATACATCACATATATCTACACAGCAAAGTAGAGTGTAAGGAGAAACAAAAAGGAAGGGTCTTACATATAATATGGAGATACTCCTGCATCTGGAGAAGCTATGTTTAGGACTCCAGATTCAAACAGGCCTGATTCATCTATGTCCCAAAACATATTCCTCAGATGGGAAACTGCAAGGCTTGGGGTTTCTCAAAGTGATGACTGCGAACTGGTGTTTCTTTCTATACCTAGGAAAGATATATTCCCAATGGGAAATGGCATCATGAACTAGTAAGCTACTGGGGAGGTAGATTTAGCTTCTGTCCAGGCCATAGGGGGTGGGGGTCCAGGCTAAAGAAAGCAACCTTTCAGTTTTGCTACTGTAAACAAAAAGAATTTGACTGCTGCTTTTGTCAATAAGCAGCTGCCATGTGACCCATGTCCAAAGGGAGAAAAGTGCCTTCTGTATCACTACACCATAATTATGGACACACTTCCAAAACTTGAGTAGATCAGTGCCTTGTAATTGATCTCTTCTCTAACTTTGTTCTAACAGTTCAATGAGGAAAAAATGGCTTGTAACATTCAATGCCACAAAATCCAAGCAAGTATTGTTTCAATATCACTGTCCAGGCCTTGAGTTTTCTCAGTCATTCAGTTGAGCTCTTAATAAGGCTCCATCATTTGAATGTCTGTTGAACCTCAAGTTCAATCCAGATCTTGTGAAACTCATATATACAAACCATTGTTAAAGATGCTGGAAAAAAAACAGTTTTCATTTTGTTTCTCCAGGAAGTGCCTGACTCCCTCAGTAATACTCTATTAGAACAAATATGGAGTATTACTACCAAATGTAGAGTCCCATGCAGCTGCTTTCCTGAACACTTTAATCTTGACATCTTCAAGTAAAAGTCAAATGTTATCTATCCTGTTTATCTTCACTTTCTATCACCTCCTCTTTCATCCATGTATAACACCTCATTCATCATTAGTACTTTAACAGTCACCCTCTACCTTGAGTTGGACCTTGTATCAGGTGAATTCTAATATTTTAAAAGTAACAAAAAAATTGGTTTCAGGCAGATACTACACTCTGATCTTAGAAAAGCATAATGATTGTACATACAAACAAGCAGATTTCCAGCTTGTATATTCTTATAAACGTTACATCACTAAACTGTATCAAAGGATCAGGATTAAGTCATTTGTGCAGAAAGCACATGTAAATCATAGCTAGAGTTTAGTCAGTCAATGTTTATTTCAGCTATGGTAAACCAAAATATGTATTCCTTTCTTTAGGAAATTCTGAAAGTTATGATACACTCATAAAGAAATTAATGGATATTTTTTTAACCAACATTATTTCTTGTTACTTTAAATATTATATTTTAGTGGATACATATCTTTGAATAGACCCCTTTTTTTAAACAGTGTGACTTACATCTGCTGGCCTGTGCTAGTACAGAAATTTAAATATCTGGGAAGTGTTTTCATAGTTGGTGAAAAGGTGAAGCAGATATCTAAAGGTACATTGGAATAGCAAAAGAAGCCTTCCAAAAGCTAAGCAAAGAATTAAGAAAAAGAAACAAAGTAAAAAGTGTAGAACTGCTATGTAATATCAGTCCTCTGATATGGCAGTGAATGCTGGGTAATTTCCTCACAGATGGAGAAGAGACTTGAGGCAACTGGTTCTATGCTGAGAATATCATGGAATGAACAAGGAAGTTTTAAGGAAAATGGAGACAAAAAGGACACTTATACTTTACAATTAGAAAAAGTCCATTGGAATTTCTGAAAAAATTTATGAGGAAAGAGGGCTAGGGGAATTTAACACTCATGGGATATCTTGAAGGCAAAAGGGGAACAGGGAAACAGTGAATAACCTAAATGAGCCTGCACAGAGACTATGGGGAATAGTAAGGTGATAAACATTATTTAGAGGTACAAAGAATAGGAAGTTGTGAAGAGCCATGAGATGTCATGACCTGAAGTGACATAACAAATAATGGTAGAAGTAATGTTTATTTTATTAACTGTTGAATAATTTTAACTCTATTCATCTTTTCTAATCAATGACTTTCTTTCTGTTTCAGGTGAGTTGGCTGTTTCATCTTTCTTGTAAACCTGAGCACACAGATTCCAAAAATAGGTAACCTGTTATAATTTATTTTGATAAAATTAAAAAAAGGAACTAAAGGACACTTATACAAAAAATCATTGAGAAAAATTTGAAATTTCTGGGATGCATAATGAGGAAAGCAGGCTTGGAAAATTCAACACTCAGATGACATATTGTTGGAAGGAGGAACAGTGGAAAACAGTGTGTAACTTACCTAAAAAAGGTTCCAAGAATGGAATAGAACAAAAAATAAAGAGGGATGGTAACGAGCCAAACATTTACACCTGTGGAATTTGCATGGGTCCAGCAGGTAAATAATAATAAACTATTATATTCACTGTCACAAATCCTATAACTCAGAGTCAAAAGGGCACCACACATACTGCAACCCACAGTAGAAATGGTGGGTCTTTGGCAAGATAACTTGATGGAGCCCAACCCTCTCTGGTTTGAATTCAGAGTTTTCCTTCTCTTAGACTGGTTGCCACCCAAGGCTATAGAACCCAGTCTGTCTTGTTATTTACCCATAGCTGGGAGGAGAATAGATGGATTCATACCTTTCTCAATGTTATTAGTATGTAAGTGAATGTAATGAATTCAACGGGAATTCAGACTTGGCTCTCCGATTCCTCAATCTGAACCATAATCTATTATTCTACTGTGTATCCAATAATATTATATAATGAAATATAATCAACAAATATGTAGAAAACAGTTCATCTTGCAAATTAAGAAAACCTCTGCATGGCCCCAAAACTCACCAAGGAGCCGTCAATTCCTTACTTTCCAGCATTGACAGAGTTCAAAAACATTTGTGTGGCCTTGTTGGTGATGAATTGTTTTCCACTCTACAACCTCTTTCCCACAAATTAAATGTTGCTAGCCTCTTGCTAGTCTATCGCTATTTGTATGGTGGACATTCAACCAACCTACATTCCTTAGTACCACCTGTCCAGTCCTTTATGGCTAGGACTGACATTACCACATACAGAATCAACTCATCCCCATTCCCTTCATATTCCATTGATAAGGATGAAGTTTCCCTCAGACAGCTGCTTCCCTAGAACTGTGGAACAGACTCTTGAGAAGATGCTCCCCCAATCACTATAATCAAGAGTCAAACATTATCTATCCTTCATAACCTCGTAATATGCTCCTTTTGCTCCCTCCTTGTACACTCTTACAAAAACTTCATTTAGTAACCCTCTACCTTGAGTGGCTCTTGGGTCTTCTATTGGAGGATTTGATTGGGTGGTTCTTATTGTTTAACATCATATCAATCACTGTGGGTTATTTAATGCCAAAATCTAAATATTTTGTGCACAATTTTATTTATTTTGTTATTTTGGCAATAATAATGGTTTTAGTGATATAAGTCTTACTAATTAACCCATAGCTAGGGGGAAGATTCATACCTTTCACAAAGGTATTTGCATGTAAGTGAATATTATGAACCCAACAGGAATTGGAACTCAGTTCTCTGATTAACAATTCTGAGCCGTTATCTTAGGCACACACCCAAGCTTACAGCACCAGATATTCCTAAGCAGTCACCCATCTAGATACTGACCAAGCTTGACTTTGCTTAACTTCAGTGATTATACAGGAACTGGTGCTTAAATGTGCTGTGGCTGTAAGCCGAAGGTATATTGGAATAGAGAAAGATGCTTTCCAAAATCTAAACAAGATTAAGAAACAGGAAAACTAAACTAAGTATTAAGAAATAGGAAAATTTTTTTGTTAGAAACAAAGGAAAGGGTACTGAACTGCTATGTAGAAGCAAACCCCTATATGGCAGCCAATGTTAGACAATGTTAGAGATTTGTGGCAAGGGTGTTGTTCTACAGCATAATGCGGATAATGTCATAGACTGAGCCCATGAGCAAGGAGGAAGTTTTAGGGAATTGTAAACAAGAAGGCCACTTGTACTGTTGTAGCATACGTACAGACAATAATGGGTATGTCCCCATTCACATAAATGCAGTAGTAAATACTGTATGTTGGTCTGCAGTTGGAGATTCATTGTGGAATTCACTTGACTCACTTCTAGCAGTTGACTACTTCTTCTATACGCCACTGGCGAATCTTACATGTGTTGTTTTTGTCCTAAGTATTATCATTCATTACCAACCTAGTTTTATTATTCTATTCAGTAACCTTCTCTAGGTTACAACATGTACTTAGAATCAGAAACAGCTGATATTAGAAGAGTGAATTAAAACATGCAATGAGAAAAAGTACAGGGAGAAATGTATTCATGCCTTTCCCAAAGTCATAAATAGATTTCTGGTTATAATGTGAACATAAAGAGTAACAAGTAGAATTTTTGGAAGCATTTTATCAGTTCTGTTTTCTATATTGATAACCATTTGTGTCATCCACTGAAAAGTACAGGAAATAATGAGTTAAACTCATGTGAGAAAACAAGTCAATGACAAAAACACAAACCAAGTGAATTAAAACAATGATTATCCCTCATTAAATTATTGTTAATGTATTTTTCTGCTGAAGAAATTAGAAAAACGTGGACACTTAATTCTTGTCATTCTTTATATCAAAATCTCGTTTTCATTGTTGATAATGAAAGGCAGCCATATTAGCCTGTTCTAATGTTTCTCCTTAAGGTTGAGACTGAGGCAAGGGAATCATGTTAAAAGATTCCAAACCAAGCTGTAACATGAATCCAATTTATTTTAGTGGACAACAAGGTTCTTAGTAAAATGGCTGGTCTACTTACCAATAATCTGACAACTACTTGAATTAATCTACATTGTCTGATGCAAAAACTAATACAAGTTGAGGCAGCAAATGAAGAACCAACTTTATTTCTATCTCTATCTCTTTTTCTATTTTTTTTTTAAATCAGAAACTCCCTTCCCTTTATATGGTCTGTGTTTTCTTTCAGTCACCAACTACTGGCCACTTTTATTCCAATCAGTTTGAAGAATCTATTTATCCACAATTACCAGATTGGGCTATATTTAAAAGCACAGTCCTACTAAATTCTGAATTAACTTTCTTCTCATTAATAGCTCAAGTTGTTGTTATGTTAAGCCTGTAGTATCCACTGTGACATATAGGGTCACAGCTTCACCATGTAAGGGGTTACTACTGCAGTTTCCATAGCAAGTAGCATTTTAAAGGGTAGAGTTGCTCCTCTTGTTGGAATCTGTCTACCCTGGGGTTTTTTATCTGAGTGTTGGGATTTCAAACATTAACAACAACACATCTTTTAAATGAAACATAGAAAAGGTTATTTTCTAAAGGAAAAGCAGAAGCAGACCATCATTTGAAACAACATTTAATATTCTTTTCATAAGTATACAATAGCAATAAAATTTTTAATTTTCCTCACAGAGAAGTTTGTTTTATAAAGCCATTAAGTGTTCTTAGTGTGTGTGAAGTGACTTACTTTATGATAGTCACCCTAATGTGTTTATGAATTTGTAGACAAAGGCTTTGTAGGTGAATGCTGGTTAATTCCTTCTATTGTGTGCATGGACAAGGCTTTAGTCAGCAGCTGATGGGTGTTGTATCTTCCATCGTGTGCATGTGTGCATACGCATGTGTAAATCAAAATGGATTCACAAATTGTTGTGAGCCTCCAGAAGCAGTAGGTTTCTATTTTTATATCCATAAGAGGATTCAAAATCTAATTTCTCATACAGGTGTGAATTTTTGAATATAAGGTTTTCATTGGTTAGAAAATAATTTCACACTGGCTCATGAAAAAACTTTTCTTAAATTTTTAGGAGTGATGAAGGGAGTTATTATTGTTATTTTCTAAATGATCCAAGTATAACACATCATAGATCCACAACTATGTAACAAGGATTTTGGCAGTGTAATGATTTTTTAGCAAACAAACCTTCTGATGCATTTTCATTGGTTGATATAAATAATTCCCATAATCCAACCAGTTTTGAAATCAGAGTAGTCTTTTTCCAAAAATGACTGCCATACCAGTCTAGAGAGCCTTTCTATTTTGCCATCTATCATCTATCTCAGATTGTTCATAACTATCTATCTAAAATAAAGGTCATTTGATAGTATCATAGATAGATGAATAGACCAAAATATATAAAGATACATACGGAAAGATAGATTTGAATGAATATGAAGAGATATGTAACTTATTTACTTTGCTGAATCTGGCACAAAGCTAAAAGTTGTTTAATGTCATGCCCCTTCAGGATGTATGCAATAATGGCTCTCTACAGATTCCTTTTCTTTATTATCTGTGAAAAGACATGACATCTTCAGAGAGGTACCAGAGTGGTTTCTCATTGCCTACTTCCATGGTTTAGAATTCAAAGTATATCTTCACTTCCTACTTCCTCGTCTTACATTCACATTACACACCTAATTCAGTGAATGTATACCTTAAGTGGTTCTTGGGCCTCGTATTGAATAAACTTTAGTTTACTTTAGTTAAAAATAGAAGAAATACAGACCCCTTCATTTAATATCTTCCTACCAGTGTAGCATGCAGTTGTACTTGTAAAATATGCAATATCTGTATGTTTCTGAATGTGCTGATAGCATTTCATTTCAATGAGTACATTTGACAGATGAACTAGGATGCAAACTCATTGATAATGTTCTCTGACTGGATTCATCAGAGATTTTGGGGACTTGCAATATCAGACCTCCTTACTCGGCTGACTCAAACAGGGCTTATCAAGTAATACATGGGCAACGTAACAGCAGTTATTAGTGCAGAAACAGAATATGCAAGCCAAGTTTAATTTCCATCTTAGTCTGTTGCATTCACTTTGCAGTATTGCCCTTGGGAAAGGCATGAATTAATTTCATCTCCTTACTACCCATCTATGGTAGTCAGTTGAAGAAAAGGACATTCACAGAATTCAATAGCAAACCATACCACTATCTTTCCCAAATAGTCATGGCAATTCAGCAATAATAAAAGAAAATAATTCTGTTGGAAGCCATTACCACCTATGTTCTGAACGGAGATGGCATTTTAAATAAATTTTTAAAAATGTTGTATTTCTACCCACCAATTAAATCTTATTCAGTTAATTGATAACTTACCATTTATTTTTACTTCTACTTCTCTTCATTTATATATCTGGATATGCAGGTGATGTAAAGGATAGCATCTTGGAATGAAAAAATTGGAGAGCAGAGTTCAAATTCAAGCCAGGTGTTTTACATTCACTTACATAAAAATATGAAATATATATATATATATATATATATATATATTAATCACCCACTCAGATATATATATATATATATATATATATATATATATATATATATATATATATTAATCACCCACTCAGATATATATATATATATATATATATATTAATCACCCACTCAGATATATATATATATATATATATATATATATATATATATATATATATATATAATCACCCACTCAGATATATATATATATATATATATATATATATATATATATATATATATAGAGAGAACATTGAAAAGTTTTCAGCTCAGCCCACTTCACAAAAATTTCACCCATGATTACAAATTATATATAAAAATTAATTTTTTGAAGAATTGTTTCATGATTGAGATGAGAACTCTCTCTCTCTCTCTCTCTCACACGCACACATGTATGCACACACACACACACACACACACACATATTGTCACATCATGTCCTTTAACCCATTAGGGTTACCCATTAGGGTTACCCATTAGGATTACAGGGGCATCACATGTACTGGTTCTATAGCAGCAGTTTTATGTCTAGGGAAAGGTAGCCTGAGGGAGCCCATCACACCCAAAACTGCTTTTGAATTCAGAGTTTTCTTTTTCTTAAACTGGTTGCCACCTCAAGGCAAGAGATTCCAGTCAACTCTTCTACTTGACACATAGCTGCACATATATATATATATATATATATATATATATATATATATATATATATATATATATATATATATATACCGGGTATAACAGCAAAATTGTTCATTTGTTAGATTAAGTTTTGAACCATTGTAGCTTAGAAATGGTAGATATATTGTTATCTGAATTATACATAAATGAAAATAACACTGACATCTCAATTTAACAGATATATTTACCAAAATTACACAAAAATATCTTGAAATGCTAAAGAGTAAATTTATTCAATAAAATCTCCATGGGCTTTAACCACAGCTGCCAGATGACTTCAGAATCTCCCACAACTCTTCTGGACAGTCACCTTGTTTAAGTTGAGGAAGGCTGCCATAATCTTTGCCTTCAGTTCATCTTTCATGTTACAAGGAGTTTTGTTTGTTTCTTGCTCAACTGCACCCCACGTATAATAATCAAGGAGGTTGCAGTCTGGGGAGTTAGGTGGCCAGATGTAAGGGGTGATGCGGTCACAGAAATTGTCTGACAGTTATGACTGTGTTCTCCTGCTTCTGTGACAGTGTGCAGAGTCCTGTTGCTAGACATAGGGTCTTCCAGTAGTAATCCTCTTCAAGGCATTTGATGTAGGCCTCCATGTTGAGTCTGAGGCCCTCACCAACAAGTTTGGGAGTTCTTTCCTTATCAGAATAATCAGAGTGAGTTTTCTAAGCTGCCATACTTTCATAATCACCATTAGACTTATCCAGCTCTTTCCAAATTCTCTGCACTGTCCTCAGATTC